AATAAAATGAAAAGAATGAAACAATTGCTTCAAGAAAAATATCCGGATTTAGTTATTTATGGTTGCTCTGCACATTATGTGAATTTGATTGAAAAAGAAGTAACTCCAAAAACGGTTATGAAACATATTGTAGAAGTACAAAAATATTTCAGAAATGTGCATCAAGCGCATGGATGGCTCAGAGAAAAGAAAGGGCTCATGCCACAAATTCCAAATGAAACGAGATGGAGTTCTCATTCTGCATGTGTTAGAACATTTGTTTCAAATTACCATTTATACCGTCAAATTTCTACTGACAATGATGATTTTGATAATAATATTGAAAAAATATTAAATAACGTTGGAATTTATAGAGAAGCACTCAACTTACAAGACCAACTTATATCTGTTTCAAATGCATTAGACAGATTCCAAAGTGACAGCACATCTATATCTGATTCGGTAGATGTCTGGAAAAAATTGTTATTAAATGAAAATTTACTACCTTACAAAGACTGTTTTATAAAACGATATAAACAAGCCATTGAACCATATCATCTTCTTGCATATATGCTGGACCCACAATATATTTTTCAAAATGCATTAACGTCAGAAGAAGAATCTGTTGCAGAAGATTGGATAATTTCAATGTATCCTCATTTCTTACCTGCAGTTATGGCTTTTAAAATTCAAGATGAATCTTATTTTCCTAAAACTATGTTCAACTCAAACATTTTAAAAGAATTTAAAACTATACAATGGTGGCGTATAATGGAAAAAAAATGTGATAAAATTGAAAATGTTCCTAATGACTTTTGCAAGTTTTTGATATCTTTACATTCTTGCCCAGCTTCATCTGCTTCCATTGAAAGAATATTTTCCACATATGGACTTGTATGGAGTGATTTAAGAAATCGTTTAGGTGCAGATAAAGCACAAAAACTTGTTAAAGTTTATCGCAGCTTAAGTTGTACCAAAAGTCAAAACCAAATAACAAAAGACTAAAGAGTAAAGACTAAACATTAATACTTAAACATATACCTATTGCTTATTTAAAATTAAATATTACTTATTACTTATAAGTTATAACGATAAACTATTATATTTGAGAAACTTATAAAGTACCTAATTAGTCCTAATATAAATAATTTTGGTATACCTACCTACTTATAATTTATATAATATTACACAGTTAATTTGTTATTTGTTAATTTGTTTATTTAGTTTATTATCATTCACCAGTAAACATTAAAAAGTTATTACTTATTCATTTTATTATTATTACTTAATTCATATTGTTTATTGTTACTAAAATATAATAAAAAAAAAATATGCAGTTTGAAGTTTGTTATTTATTTTTTTTTTGGTTTTTTTCTGGGTTTTTTACTGGGTTTTTTTACTGGGCCCAACCCATTAAAACCCGGTGGGTTTTAATGGGTTGGGCCCAGTACTTTGAACCCTGTGCCAAATAGTTCGTTTAATTGTTTAACCAACATAATTATCTCAAACATTTTTCACATGCCTTTTTTCTTATTCGAGCCATGGAAATATCATTTGCATAATAAATCTGACCATCAATCTACAATTTTACTTTGAAAGTATAAATTATAAATTATTATTATATTGTTACAACAAGAAATAAAATCTATTTTTTAAAATGAAATTGTACATCTGCATACAACTCACCAAATACCATGAATGCATTTTTGGGACAAACTAAATTATACATACGAGCATTGAGACGATTTTAATAATTTTTCTCTTTGGATTGATATAAAAATAAATGTAGGAATTTAAAATAATCAATTATTGACTATGAAAATAACTTGGTTTAAAAATAATTGACATAGGTACTCTCTTTGATCGAGCAACAAAATAAATACTTATACTTAATTATCTACTTTAAACTCAAAGGCTTTTAAATGGTGAGTAACTAGATACAAAACTATTTGTGACATATTTTTTAGTTGCGTATACCTTATTTTATATCCTAGTTTTAAATAATTTTTATAATTTTTAATTAATTTTTTTTTACAGTATCACGGTCCGTAACATAAATGGGGGCTTTTTTATAAATTGAATGCACTTTTGTACAACATATTACTATTTTTATATTTTTTCAAGACTTGCTGATCCATGAAATTCACTTACGGATAAAGTGACCAGGATATCTAAGATTTTCACCTTGAATACCAGCTCCAAGCATTATAGTTAGACGACCTTTCATGGTTTCGATGAAAACTTTAATCAAATATTCTCCATCAAATGCTACGGGACTTCTACCACTAGTTATTAAGCGTTTAAATCCCAAATCAACTATTTTTTGTGCCATCTCTATTGGATCTTGTGTAGCTACGTCAAGTGCACGAAGGTATGTAACAGGTAGTGGTTGAGCCGTCAAAAAATCATTCAACCATGAACTAACGTAGTCCATAAGTCATAACAAAAAATACCCATCAACATAATTTTTTGTTCATAATATACCTAACAACGATAATAATATTTATGATATATGAATACGATATGACAAAACACTTAAAAGATACGTCGTATACGCCGATCATTTCGACGTACACAATAAAAGAAACAAACAATATTATAAGCACTTTAATAAACACTGGTATCTGGTGGCCACACCAAAACAAAACAGCCCAATTTTACATTGGTATGTTTAATATTTTTCCTGCGTCACTGATAATTTAAGAATAATATTAATCTAACTTACCAGCTACCATATTAATAATCAATTATAACATAACAAAATATCCTAGACTGACATACCGTCCCGCTCAGAATCGTTTTTCGTATACAATGATATGATATCAATATATCATTGAATTCAAATTTAATACTATCCGTTGCAGCAACCTCCTAGACATCTAATGTACAACAGAGCAACATCCACTTTCCCGCATTTTGTTAAAATAAATGTAATAAGATAGGTAAGATGTTATATGATAGGCACCTATTGCAAAAATACAATACAATGCTTTTTGCACAAAAAATCGTTTTCCAAAATGTTCTTTTAACTTTTTTTTTAAATTATTCAAAGCAGTTTAAAAGTGGTGTAGTTAAAATGGTACCTATATTTCTAAATAAGTGCTTAAAAATGTGCTAAGTGCTGTTTCTTTCTCTTTAAAAAAAAATACAAATTAAAAAAAAACTGTACCTATAATTTTCTATGATTTTTGTTTTTTAATGTTGAATAAATAATGTCCCTCATTAAGATTACGATATTGTATAAGTTTTTTTCTATCTTGTTACTAAGAAAAAATAATATTTTTAAACTATTAAATTTGAAATTTTGTACAAATTATGGATTAATTATCGATTGTTACTTATTGAACGACTAAGCTTCAAAACTAACTCACAATTCTGGATTTAGAAATGTATTTTACATGAGGAATATACTATTATTAATCAAATATAACCGTCGATTACTTTGACGCACACAATAAACGAACAAACTATATTATAAGCACATTTAAAAATACGTATGGAGATATCTACTATCCCGTAAATTTGGGTCAGCCGAAGACGAGTTCCAAATATAGTTTTATTAGGTCTCGGCCTAGTGCGCTGCGCTGTAATCGTCAGTAATATTACCGTTTAATGAAAAGTAAGCTACGCGTTGGGCGCGGTGGCGCGGGCGGTACGTTATGTAACTGCTTCCCGCATCACAGTTATTCTCGATCTCGCGGTTTTTCCCTTTAGTGCCGGTGTAACCGGGATTATTTACCCCCGTGAAATTGTACCCCCCCCACGGTAAATTATCCCTAGTGAAATTTTACCCCCGGTTAATATTCCCTCGTGAAATTTTACCCCCCTGAATATTTAACTGGGAGGTAAATATTCTCTAGAGTAATTTTACCTCCCGATAAAATTTCGCTAGGGATAATTTACCGGGGGGTACAATTCCACCAGAGAATGTTTACCTCCCGGTAAATTATTCGAGGGTAAATTTTCACTAGTGATAGTTTACTGAGGGAGGGGAAGGGGGGTAATAAAACATTTTTTTAATGGTTTTGTATGAAAATTTTAAAACTTTAAAATTAAAAATTGTATTAAAATGACAAATTAATTTTGTTAAGTTTATTTATTTACTTCTCATAATATTAGCTATAATTGTTTTAAAATAATACATAATACATAATACCCATATAGCAAAGGAATATTTAATGAATATTTCTTGATTATTCATTTTCGTATATTTATGTCTATTGTATATCTAAATTAACGCTATAGAAAATTTTTTAACATACATTAGATATCTGTCACATGTCTTATGAACCAAACATCCAGATCTCATGGATGTTGAAAGTGAAATATTCAACAAATATCAGATAAAAAATAAAGATGGGATATTTGCTTTTAATATCAAATGTATATTCAATGATTATTGATTTTAATACAATATGATATCTCTTAGACATCTACCTAATATACTTTTTAATATCAAAAACATATACATACAATATATATTATATAAACAAAAATGAATATCTTCTGTATGTTTAAGATGAATTATCAATTGAATATGCATTTTTATATAATAAATAATTATAAAATTGTATACTACAATATATATTATAAGCATTGATTAAGTATTCTTAATCAATGTTATAAGTTATATAATATACTCTAATATTATATTGTATGTATACCACTTAACCTGAAAAAAAATATCTGATACAAATTAAATAATAACAATTAATAATTATTTTATGATATTAATCAGTTTTAGTCTAAAATATAGGTAAATATGGGTAATTACAATACTTTTAGTATGTAAAGTCTATATAATATCTATAGAACTCAAGTTCATTGTATATGAAGTAGTTCAAAAGAGAATCTTCTATATATTAATTAACCAGGTATTTAGTCTGAATTACAATGATAATAGATATTACCTAACATTATGGTCTTAAAAAAATGTTATGAATAAAGTGAACAACAATAAATCTTTGAATAAAATTCTTCCTGAATTTTTATTTTCAAATTATAATTAGGTATATAAAGATTTACATAATATTTTCCAATGGATTTTTTTTAACGAGCCGTCCTTTGGCACTAGTTAGCCATTTTCCTATTGCAGTGATGATTTCATCATTGGATGCATTTTTAAAGTTCGACTTCTTACTTGCATCTAAACAAATTTATTATAAGAGTGTTAACTAAATTTTAATAATTTGAAGTTTAATTTACATGTCATAATAATATAATTAGTTAAGTTACACAACAATAATTAACAAACTAAATATAAAAAAACTATGTGAAGTTATTATGTAGTAAGTTTAATTTTTTCATAATGGTTTATATGTAGTTTGTGTTATAAATAAAATATAAACCAACAATAATACATTATTATAAATTTAGTTTATATTGTAAACCACTATAGTTCAGATAATTTATAATTATGCATAAAACTAAAAATATTATAATTGAGCTAAAAAATTAGTGTGTTTGATTAATATATTATTAATGTATTATTACCAAAAATTGCCTTATTGATAGAAAGTAATGAAAAGTTGTCTTTGTTTCGTAGACCATAATATGTGTAAGCAATCAAAACTTTGTCATCGAATACTCTTTTCATAATTTTGTAAATCATATTTTTGAGTGATTTACCACCAATTCTTGCAAGCTCGCATACCTATAAAAATTTACATTAGTCAAATTTACAATTTATAATCTTCAAACAAATTAGAATAGCATACAACTTGTTTTTGAAAATGAACATCGGATTTCATTTTTTCTTCCATATTGATTAGGTCTTCTTTATTAGAGATAGGCCAATTATGTATAAAGTAGTCAACTTCATGTTCCCAATTAAAATCATCACCTTGGGTATTAACATTCTTCGATTGTATCATTTGTATTATGTGTTGTTGATTATCAGCAATCTTACAAATTTCTACCTTTAGGACAGCTAAGTAATTTAACGTTGCTTTTTGAAAACCTAAGAAAAAATTAATAATTATCAAAAATAATTTGTACATTTGTGATTGACGATACAACAAAAAAAAAAAAATGAAATAACTAAGTTGTATAATAAAAGGGCTGCGAGTTGTTGAAGCCAATTAAAAAAAAAAAATGTCTAAAAGCTATTACTATTATTAAACATTTTTTGTTAAACTTCTAAATACAATTTAAATGATTCTTACTAACTTCTTTTATAAAATAAATACAAAAAAAATGGTTATTTTAAACATAAATTTGAATAACACATAATTAAATCATCCTAACCAACCAACCTAAATAAATGAATGATATAATAAAGAATAATATTCAAGATTAGTGTTAGGAGCTTCTTATATATCCTAAAATATGACAATATTTTTAGATTTACAGATTAAAATTATAAGCCCAGTTATTATTATGAATTGTACCAATACTAACTAATTAAAAATAATAATTAATTAAATGCATGCAAATCAAAACTGGAGGATAAGTGACTTATTTTTCTAAATAAGCGACTAAAAAAAGTGACTTTAAGTTTACAACAAAGTGACTACCTACTTACTCAATTGATAACAAATGAAATATAGGATACTTTACCAGTAAATGAAGCAGAATTAATTGGTAGTTGAGATTGTGAAAGGGTAGATGGAATGGCATACATACTTTCATTATTTACATCAATATCATTATCTAATAACATTACAATAAATAATTTATAATATTACATTCACATGTTTAAAATTAGTATATTACTTACCCAAAGTAGGCCAGATTTCAGTAGATATATCTTTTTTTTGCTTATGATAGTTCGGAGTATAATTCTGATCAACATCACTATCATCAATAACAGATGCTGCAAAAATATTTACATTCAAAATATACTATACCTTTACATAAATACATAGGTAAAGGAATTCAACAAATAATTATAAAAAAATTAGTAAATGAAAAAATATATAAGAAAATAGTAAATTCTCTATAGTAAGTTTATTTTTACCTGTTAAAAATAATTAGTTTAGTTATAAAATGTAATAAATACTCATTTAACTGTAAATAGGTACAACTTACAAGTTTCAGAACATTCACTTGTTTTATGCGAGTTAGAATTATCATTAGAGTTTGCCAATATAACATATTCTTCTTTATCAATATTTGTTAAAGAACCTGAACAATAACAATTTTTTCGTTATTTACTATATCAAAATAAAATAATTTCAAAATTTTTAGAACAAACATTACTTTCTACAATTTCTAAAAGTTTTATTTTATATTAAATGAATAGATATATTATATAATAATATGTTAAATATATTCAATGCACTTACAGTCTGCCAGCACAGAACTTCTTTTTTCACCAACAGGTGCTTTATCTAATAATTTCATCTTTTTTAACTTATTGTTATATTTATTTCCGTCAGATACATCAGATGTGAATTGTGCTTTGTCAGTTTTGCTTAGAGCTTCAGATAACAATGCTAATAAAAGAAAAAATGATTCATAGTTTATAGATTTTTAAATAGATTAACTTACTTACCAATATCTTTAGAGATGACTCTACACCTATAATAGCTGTAGTCTATTTTATTTGGATATGAACGGCTGGATCTGAATTTTTTTAAATTACTGTCGTTGTTTGGCCACGCACATACCGTTTTTATGCCATCTTTTTTGACCCAAATTAAAGGTACATAGTCCACAGAATTATCGGATGAAAAATGTACTACAGCCCACATACTTAGTTCTATTATAAGCTCACCTCCTATATACCTATAATATATTACTTAACATAAAAAAAAACATAATATAAATATTAATATAATTTTAGCAAAAACGGAAAGTCAATTTATGTAAAATATATGTAAATTTATGCCAATATAAAGAACCTAACTTATAACTTAGTAATAAATAATAATATGTCAATGTTTTTTTTCAAAAATAAAAAACACGCATAAGCAAATAGTTTGATTAATATTATATTTTATTTTATTTTATTATACTAAAAATGGAGTGATTGTAATTTTTATTATAACAATAAATGTACTAAAAATTAACAACATTTTATTGAATTCAATATATTAGAAAAACTATAATTAATATCATATTATTTGATTTAATTACATTTATCATATCATTTTACTATATGTATACAAATAAACTAAATACAAATTATTACTATAGTCTATACTAAATAAAACTAAAATACAAAATAAAAATTAAATACAAATGAACTAAATTTAGTTAGGTATTAAAATGAATTATTGGAAGAGCTACAGAAAAATCTAAATCATGTGTGGTTAACACCATATACTTTGTGAATATATCTTCAATTTTATAGATGGAAATTGATTTAGAAAAGTTGCTTACCTTATAAATACCTATTTCATCACTTTTTATGGGTTTCTCAAAGAATCTTTCAAGCTTATTGAATTTTCTACCTAATATTACATTATTTTTTAAGCTTTGACTATAACAAATATTGATCACTTTCACTAACACAAAAGATGAATTAATATGTAAGCCAACAAATGAGTCAGCATTGACATTTATTTTTATTTTTATTTTATCTAAAATTAAAATTTTAAATTGAGGAGATGTAGTGTCACTTATTAATGGACCTTCATTATGTTCCATTTTAAATATCTTTAACAAAGTTTCATTTTCAAGATTATTAAGGTTTACTATAGGAGGGTTACTAAGACTAGAACGTTCTTCAAATCTTCTTACTACTTGCTGAAGTGGCTTATCACTTTTACGAACTAGTTTTTTTAATTGTCCCATATAGTTTTCAAATTTGAAACAACTTACACTATCTAATGAACCAAAACTGTTATAATCATCAAATAAATGTATTAATGCATGCACATTATGAGAAATAAAGTGATTTCCATACAAGCTACCAAAATCTTTAACAAATTTTAACATTATATACTTAGCAATTCCAGCTAAATCTTTGTAGTTAGGACTCAAATAAATAGTCATAGCAACGCTTAAAGATAAAAAATGTTGATATAATTTTTTGGGCACAATCGAATGAATTGAAACAACACCTACATATAATAGAAATAATCTGTACTCTGTGGCTTTCCATCGTGGCAATTCATCCAAGGATCTAGCTTTACGTACAAAATAACATGGTATGCATGTTTTAAATGATATAAGTCTATCTGATATATTTCTAATTTTTCTATTATTCAATTTTTGATTATTAACATCTCTTCTTCCAATTCCAAGAGTCCCCTTCCATAACATCAATATTTTTTTAACAACACCTAAGCATACTACGTGCATATAATCCAATGAAAAGTTGTGAACAACATCAAAATTTGGAATGCTAATAATTGTAGTTGCATCACCATGTGAGTGATATTGACGTTGAATTTTATTAATGAAATCCTCATGAGTTCTCATAGAACACTGTAAATTAGGAAAACATACACGCCTTTCTACATATTGACCTTTTACTGTACACCTAGCACAAGAATAAAAGTCAGTATGCGTTTTAGTTTTCAATACAAACGCACGAGCCGGTGCATCACAACAGAATGTGTCGACTATTACTTTTTTATGGAAAACAGTTAAAATATTATTGTTTAATAATTCAACATCAATACCATTTAATACTAGTTCTCTAATCTCAGCTACAAAATCATTTAAAAAAACATTGCTATCATCTGGCTTGTTATAACCCCAATATATGCCAATAGGGAATACAGTTTCATTTTCCTGTCGAATGTAACCTAATATTGGCCAAAATGCACTTCCTGAGCTTTTCATTAAAGGCAACCCATCAATTCCAATCACTAATTTAATAGTTTCACTTGAAAATTCTTTATCAATGTACTTTTTTATACTATATTGTACACCAAAATGGTAGTATATACCAGGTGAAACAGTTTTAACTTTAACAGGATTGTTATAAGATACTCCCGAATAAGTTTTATAGAAAGTTCTACTAGAAACCGGTAAATCATTAAAGCATTTATGAGTATTTATTACTTTTAATAAACTGTCAAAGGTGTTATTTGGTACATTATGTTCAGTAGCCCATTGAATTAATTTGGTAGAAAATGGTTGTTGTGTCGTGGCAGAACCATTGTCATCAACACTCCTCACATTCAAATCTAGATTTGAGGTGTTTGAAACAGTGCTTAGTTCGATGTGATCAGTTACTTTGTCATTGATGGTATTATATATTATTTCAGTATTACAATTTTCAACCTCAATAGGATAATCATTATTCAATTCTAAAGGAATATTATTACCGGCATTTAACGGGGATGGGTTGTCTAATTCAACTAAATCATTTGTTTCAGGCAAATCATTACCGCCAGTCAGATGTTGAATAAAATTTAATTCTTCTAATAACCTCCGACGTTTGGTAGATTTACTCATATTATTTGATCTCAACATAGTTATATCGATAGGTAAACTATTATGTGAATTAACACTAAAGTAAAATAATACTTACAGTAATTTAAACAACGACTGTAGTACTGTAGTAGATATATTACTGTAGACAAAAGTACAAAACAGAACGTACTGAGTAGACACAATTAATACAAAATAGAAAAATTATAGTTAGTAGTCACTACACAGGTCACAGATAAAATAAAATAAATATATAATATTATGTTATATTATTA